ATCTCCTGAAAAGAAAATGCCATTAAACAAAGGGGTTCTTTAAAATGTGTTCTCTTCATGGAAACCCATCCTGGGAGTAATACTCCTTTTTTTTGGTAAAAGTTAAAGTCTCAGCAGATGTTTCACTTCAAGGTCAGTTGAACCAAAACTCATTTAAACGATCTGTCCGTTTCATGGGAAATGAGTTCATATTGGCAGTGAAGTTAACACAGTGACAGTTTTTTACTACCCTTTCATTAGTGTCAACTAAGTTAGTGCTGAGTTGAACACCTGTAAAGCAAAGTCTGTTTGTTCCCAAGGGAATAGATGCATTTTATTTTAAACAGTTTAAACACAAATCACATGAATGATGTTTGTTTGAGCTGAGATGAACTGTTTCTGAGGTGGTGTTCCCCTACAACGGTATATTAAACATCAGCCCAAAACATGAGTCAGTAGTGAGCAGACGGATATGAATAAAGCAGCGTAAAAGGCAAGAGATCAGCAGCATGGATAATCAGCAGCACAGATAAGTCAGATATCACCAATTAAAGTGGCATTACAGTGATTTTTTTTTTTTTGTCCTTAGTGATTATCCTAGTTAGAGATTCATGAGTCTAACAGTCTCAGGTTAGAAGCTGTTCCTCAGTCTAGTAGTTCTTAATGTTCCTCAACCTCCTGCCTGAGGGGAGTGGGGCAAAAAGTGTGTGTGCTGGGTGAGTGGGGTCCTTCATGATGCATGTGGCTTCTTCCTTCTTCTTCCTTCACTTGTCAATGTTTAAATGTAAATCAACTCACGATTGTTGGCAACAAAACACGACTGCTGATTTCACTCATTTGTTACAAATGATGTGGTAGATGCATATTTAATGTTTAATTTGATCATAGATCATACAATCATACACATATACAAAAAAACTCAGAAAACATTGAAAACGTTGATGTTGGAAACCATTTGCTCGTTTGATAATAAACTTTAAAAGAGTAACATTTATTAAGTTTTTAAAGGTTAGCTTTGATTTAGCTTTTTAGGTTTATATGTGGTTTAGTCTTTTGTGACGCAATACTTCTCGAATATCAGAGAATCTAAATACTGGTACACTTTTGTTTTGCGGGTGCACACATGCACATGTTTCTCCTGGACAGGTTTGACTTGAGTATATGATATGTACAGAAAACCATATGCAGACAAGATTTGTTTACCAAAAGTTCAATGAAAAGGCTAACAGAGAAGCAGTTCCTGTTCCCCACACAGGCTTTTCTTTTGTTAAGAATGTGCAAACATCTCTACGCTGCAGCTACAAAATCCTACGTATCAAACCTGTGTGTAGCGTAGGTGAAGTGAATGCTATGCACGAGCAATCAGTGGGCGGCACGGCGGTGCAGTGGTTAGAGCTGTCACCGCTCAGCGAGAAGGTCTTAGGATCATCTCCCGACCTGGGGCTTTCTGTGTGGACACAGATACCGTGTGTTTTCTCCGTGTACACGTGGGTTCTCTCCAGGTACTCTGGTTTTCTTCCACAGATGAAAAACATGCATGTTAGGTTAACAGGTAACTCTAAACCGTCCTTCGGTTTGAGTGAGAGAGTGAATGAGTGTTTGTCTCATTTGTCTCGATGTGTCCCTGTGATGGACTTGCGACCTGTCCAAGGTGTACCCCACCTCTTGCAACGTTGACTGCTGGTGACAGACACCAGCTGCCCATGACCCATGTATGAAAATGCATGGAGAGGAAATGTTTAGATAGATGTCTGATCAGTTTTGTGTGTTTTGCTCCTTCTGCTCCTCCCTGCTCTGATCTTGGAGGCCCAGTCTGTAAGGAACCCAGAGAAAAACCGCTTGCAAAGCTAGTTTTATAAAAAGATCAACACTATGTGCTACGCTCACTCAAGTATCAGTGAACCCACCCCCCTTGAACATACACTGTACACTCATGTGATGAAGTATGGAGGGAACCATGTGCAGGGTGTGTTTTTCATTTTCCTTCTTCCCGTTTTAAATAGAGCCGTCTTGGCAGGACAGCAGAAAGAAAGACGCTCCAATACTCGGGAGTAGCTCCGTTACGTCAACTTGTTATCAACAGAGGAAACTCATCGCTCTCTGAACACTGCAGTTATTCCTGAGTCAAACCTTAAACAACAGCTAATGGTGTTTGGCTTAAATGTATGAAAACTAACATTAGAGGCCTAGCGCTCTTTGAAAGAATGCATATCACTCTTCAGGAACAAAGATCATCTTACGTTGAAAAAAAGACAAATTTATACCCGTTCTGGTCAATAGCTTTCAGAGTATCCGTGGACAGGGACTCTCAGCTACTACCACATCAAATTTTAGCTCAGTATTTGTACAATTAACTGAGTTATGGTCATTTCTGTGTTAGTTAATGGTGGCCATTTTGTCTTGGATTGACTCCAAAAGTTAATCAATTGCAGATCTACATTTTATCAATATTTCCTAAAAGTTTTATGAAACAAAATTATTCCAGTGGTTCAAATATCTGTTGTTTTGGTAACAAACAAACAGAAAGGTAAACTAATTATCACTCTGCCATTGTCTTTTGGCACTGGTTAAAAATGACATCAATACTTTCATGAACTGACGAGCTTCACTTCAAGTCTGTTTTTCTTTACAAAACAAATCCTACAAACCTTAAAATGAAGAAAAAAAAGTTTTGCTCGTTTATCTTTTAGAACATAAAAAAGAAAAATGTCAGAAATGGATACCAAATGTTTCTAACCAAATAAAATAGTTGAATCCCAGAAACGGGCATGACTCATTGGACAAATATGCTAAACACCTCAACCAAGATATGGAGGCAAAATACTTCAAACTCAACCTTTATGGCTTCATTTAACAAGTTTCCCTTCACAACTATTTACATGAAGTCCCTGCTGACATCCCGGTCATGCAGCTGATGCAATGAAGTGGCTCAATTACAGAAACATTTTTTGTAATTGCCGAAAGGGGAGACATTTAGACACAAATACAAGCTAATAGATAAAAATTAAAAAAACTATTAAATATAGATGCCTGTCAGTCTCAAATCCACTGATTTACAAAAATAACAATAAACAGAAGATGCAGACTGTGACAACCCCCCCCGAGTCAGCATATTAAGTGGAGAAGTCACCAGTATATAAATAGATATGAGATAAAAACAATTATTTGAAGACGACAAAAGTCTATCTGAACTAGACACACCCTTCCACATACTTCAACGAGTCTACAGCGCCCGCTCAGATTCTGTTCAAAATGAGACGCCATACATTAAGATTTCATGCCTGTACTCTTGTTTGCATTGCAGCCACTCTTAGTTTGTCTAAAAAGATAGGATGGGTTAAAAATGGTATGTGTAGTGTGCAAGAATAAATATGTGCCAGTGCAGCCTGCATAATATCAGGACAGATTGAGTCTGTGCTTATGTACATATAAGGTGTTTTTTTACACTTTCCTGTGACTTCTGACTAATTGACTCTGGTGGAAATTTTTGATATTTGTTTAGTATGATCAGATTTAGAGGGGCAACATGACTGGCTGCAACAAGTCTGTTTTCTTTCATCATAATGTGCTACAAAGCTGACACGGCACAGGCTCATTTAGACCCTTTCTATCCAACCAGAAGACACTTTGAACATTTGATGCTGCGCTTAAAAGATAAAAATATAAAGCAATTTTTTTTTTACTTCTTTCTTAAGGAGGTTCCAATGGTTATAATAGATTAAAACTACAAAAACCTATGCTCAATTATTATTAGAATTACTTACAAGAAATGTGCTTTTTATGTGTCAAAGTGTGCGTGACTTGGAAACGCATGTGGATCTGTCATAGCTGACTGGGGGTGGATGGTTTTAATAAGTTTGTGCAAACTTCCAAGTCAAACAGTCTTTTTAATCAAAGTACATTAGTTCAAACAAGCAGGATTTCTAACAATAAAGATCTGATAAGAAATTATGAACGTTTGTCCAATGCAAACAATTAGATGAAAGGGTTTTCCCCAATCACAGTTTTATCATTGCTAATGCTAATATAGGATCCTTGGCAACAACTGTGAAAGTCAACTCTGTTTGTTTGCTAGCAAAATATTTCATAAACCTGTTGGAAGATTTCAATGAACTTATTGGATGAACATCTACAACTCATTAACTTATGGAGTCAACCCAATTCAACATGGCCACCACAGCAAGCTGACCTAAGCCTTCAGTGAACTGTACAGACACCGAGCTAAACTTTGGTGTGGTAGTAGCTGAGGGTCATTAACAACACCTAACACAAGCTCTACATGGATATCACCTCAGACAGAACATGGTTTGAACCAAAATGGCATCTACTCCATTATCTTTCAACATAAAACGATTGTAGTAGTAACAATTTTAGTAATCCTAATAATTAATTTATGCCAGTCAAAACTAATTAACAGCTGGAAAACCTATGCACCAATATATTTTTTTAATCAGTTTATTTTAAATATGTCTAAACAGTACACAGAGTTTTAAAACTATATGAAACAACTTGTATATGGTATATGTAATCCTGTAGATAAAGTAATTTAGACTGTAATTGCTACAGCAGAATGTGTTGAGGAATAATAAGGAAGACTTGGGCTTTAAAGATGATGCACCTGTTCCCTCTCGCTATGTGTTCACATAATTTAAAAAGCTAAGCAGCAACTAGCAAGAATTCAAGGTGACTTTAGTAGAACAGAGTATCAGATATTTGTTTGCTAACAGGTAGTCGTTAGCTTGTGGAAAACAGTGCTGCGTTCAAGCATTACCTTTAAAGTAGGAAAAAATATTAATACCTTCGCTTGACACTCGGGGTGGTCAGTGTAGTCACACCTGACCTGATGTAAAGTCAGGTATAAATGTGCCATCACTTTGTTGTGGAGCGTGCACCAAACGGGAGAAGCTACCACTGGGAACATGTTATTTTTTTTTTTCCAGATGTAGCATGAACGCAACCCGACACCGACCAACAGTTACCTGTGGACCTGTCAACTGACGCTTCGTCCGAGGTTCACGTACCTGACATCGGCACACCATGTCCGCATCTTGTGCCAGCAGGTCCACAACTTTCCCTTTCCCCTCATCGCCCCACTGAGCCCCGAGCACCACAGTCACTTTGTTGCCAACGGCTGGTCTGGGTGTCCGTTTCGTCGGGCTGCCGCTGCCGTTCGAGGCCCCAGCGGCTTCCTGGCTCCCACCTTCAGACATTTCTGTTGGCTTCCCGGCGGCTGACTAGACCGTGTTGCGCTGCCTGCTCGCCAAAGATCGAACAGATAAGCGAAGAGGATCACTCCGCGTAATTGGCAGACGCTACGATGTATCGCTCTGCTCATGCGCGACACACTGCCTGAACTCTCAAGTTTAAAAATAGACTACTATGAATTATTTTTAATGTAAAAAAAATTATGAGACTGTGTCTTATCAAGTCAAATAGCTCACAATGAGTTTTATTTTAAGTAGAAACCCTAATCTGCCGTAGATTCTTCAAATCCGAGTTCCAGTGATTCATCTTCATTGATTCTACAATCTCAGGGGACGCTCCTACTTTTCTGGAGGTGTGTTCATGTACAGGGAGGAGTGATGGAAATAACACGAAAAGTACTGTAATACAAGGACAGCGTGACCCCAACATTTGAAGCAGTACTTAAAAAAATAATTGATGCAGAAAAACAACACTCTAATCAGAATTTTTACTGATAAATAACTATTTAATTGTATAATTACGGACCAAAACACGAGATAAAAGCATTTGTATGAGGTCATACAGGCTGTATTCTGTGGAGCTAATTTCACATTTTATAGAAATAGTATAGGTTTTAGGCCCTAATCTGAAAGTTACCATGCAGTGTGAAAGTATTTCTCGGCAGCATAAAGTATATAGCTAAAGTGCTGAGTAGCAAAACTTGAACTTCTTCTTCTTCAATCCTGAGGTTTTAAACGAGTGTCCTTTTTGAAGTTTGTCTAAGAGCGTTTTTCATGTTTTTACAGATTGTGCACGGCCGACGGCTCTGTTTAATCTAATGACGAGGCTCCTTTGCCTTTTTGACACAGTTTTCACCTAATCTGTTTTTATTAATGAAGTACATTACAGCAAAGCCACTGTTTAAATTCCAAACTTTAAACTTTTTAGTGGCCGAAGCAAAAAATGGCTGTTTACTTGTCTCGCAGGGACAGACTGCAGGCTGGACCTAAACTTGATGCTGTTGCTCTGTGGCGGTGCAACGTCAAGGCCAGACTGGTGTTGGAGTTTTGCTTTCACAGAGACACTGGACACCTGGAGAATTTTGAGAAACGGTGGGGATTTAAGGTTTTATGCACCATTTCTGATCAGGGAGAACTACAATACAACAAGCTCCTCATGTAAATATTTTATTTTAAGCTTGTCCTGATCACATTTTTTTCAACACTGTTGTGATTGTGTAAATAAAGTTTTGTTAAAAATCAAAAATCTCCTTCTTCTTTGTCTTATGCTTCCTGCTCAATAATCCAGGTAGAAAAATCTAGCAAAGTTAATTCAGGTCTTCTGGACAGTTTCTTTTTGTTGAAACGTTTCGTCTTTCATCCAAAAGACTTCATCAGTCCGAGGAGCCACAGCAAACCCAGTCTTATATAGCACCTTCTCATAGTGGGTCAACCAGTTTGATGGTGTTTAGGTGGTTTCTGTAGTCCGCCCTCTCCCCCGCCAACTCATCTGAGGCAATCATAGCCAAAGTGGATCAAAATATCCTGATTCATGATCAATAATCCAGGTAGAAAAATCTAACAAAGTTAAGTCAGGTCCTCTGGACTGTTTCTTTACCACCCACACAACAGAAACCACCTGAGCACCATCAGACTGGTTGACTCACTATGTGAAGGTGCTATTTATAAAATTGAGTTTGTTGTGTCTCCTCGGTTTTTGGATGAAAGACGAAACGTTTCAACAAAAAGAAACCGTCCAGAGGTCCTGACTTAACTTTGTTGTTTTTTTCTACCTGGGTGGAGTTTGCATGTTCTCTCTGTGCATGTGTGGGTTTTCTCCAGGTACTCCGGTTTCCTCCCACCAAAAACGTGCACGTTAGACTGATTGGTAACTCTAAATTGGCCGTAGATGTGAGTGAGAGTGTGAATAGTTGTTTGTCTTGTTTGTCTCTATGTGTCCCTGTGATGGACTGGAGACCTGTCCAGGGTGTCCTCCACGTCAGTGATAGCTGGATGTGGTCACCAGTGACCCCTGCAAGTCGGTGACATGAAAAGGAAGAAGCGGGAAACGATAATGGATGGATGGATTACTGAGCATGAATCAGGATATTTTGAACCACTTTGGCTATGATTGCCTCAAACGAGTTGACGGGGGAGAAGGTGGACTACAGAAACCATCTTAGCACAGGCCGATCCACTATGAGAATGTGCTATTTATAAAACTGAGTTTGTTGTGACTCCTCGGACTGATGAAGTCTTTTGGATGAAAGATGAAATTTTTCAACAAAAATAAACTGTCCAGAGGACCTGACAACTTTGCTAGACTTCTTCTTTTGGCTTTTGTTTTTCATGCTCCATCATTACTACGCAAATGATCAAGAGACACAGATAGAAAAATCTTTATATTTGTCAACCAGCAGAGCTCTCTTTTGTACGATGGAGCTTTAAGGCCACTCTAAAAAAATAATAAATAAAATTACATTGCACACGAAGAAAAAAAACAAAAAAAACATAAAATTACGAGAATAAAGCCGTAGAATCACATTTGGCTATATAATTAATTAATTTATTTATTTATTTTTAGCGTGGCCCTAAAGCTCCGTCGTACTTTTGTTATAGGTAATTTGAGTTGTTTTTTTAATCATAGCTGACGGTGTGTGTTAAGAGAAAATGTATGTATTTTTTAATTATGACTTAACCTTTTCCTACTACCTCAGGCAATTATTTGTGTTACGCACAAAATTGAAAGCCTGTGAAATGTTCAAAATGTCACCAACAATTATTAGATTGTTTCAAGGTCAAGTTTCTTTATTATCATTCGCATCGCATGTGGTACATGTGGTGGAACAAAATTGTGTACACAGTGTCCCAGTAACATCCAACAAAAGCCTAAATTGTAAAAGAAAAACAGTAATATGGATGCAGAAGTAGGACTTTCTAACTAAAACCACAACAAATCACTTTGTCAACATTTCAGATGATCCATCTGGAGATCTGCAGCGTCGATATGGCTCACATCACGACTGTCCTTTGGTTCCTTTCAGCACAGTGTGGGACAGATGGTCAGCTGGCGGGGACGAGAGGAAACTGTGGGAACAGTGGGACAGTGGGTCACGCCTCAGCCTTGTGTTAACAAACCAACGTTCCATTTCCACTGTGACCTGTTGAAGGAAAATTTTCAGGCAAATGTGTCTCAATCGGTTCTGGACTCCAGGGATTCTGTGGTTGTTCTTTCCCACCGAATGCATCAGATGAAAGGAAACTGGAGTGTGAGAATTGTTATCTTATTTCCTGCTCACATTCCTCACAAGTCCCTTATTTATTTATTTATTTATTTATTTATTCCTCATGCTTATTTTCTTTCAAATCAAGCAAATGCAGCAATTACATTACATAGTTTTCTACTTATGCCTTTTTAAACAAACAAACTATATATATAT